TTCATGAACAGTTCGCATCACGAGACTATTGAAGTAAAGATAGGTTGAAAGATATGTTAGCCCCATAATCTTATTATTGTATTACGGCCTGCATGATTCTGCCTCATGCCCCATTGATATTAGTAATGAGTTAGGGTCGTTGAGTCTATTGTTGTTTCTACGGCCTGCATGATTCTGCTTTATGCCCCACTGGTCATAGCGATAGATGAGATCTAATATGTTCATTAGATTTATCTTTATTAAATGGTTGAGTGATGTTGAATTGTTTCTTTATATGAAAAGGGGTTTGGTTACTTGTGATCATTGGCTTAGCATAAACCAATCATTGTTGACATCTTACTTCCATTGAATAATATTTGTTTAAATAACGACATTTGCTTTGAATGATAATCGATTCTTCTTATATAACCCAATGAGCGTTAACCGATTTACTCTCATGAATATGCTGGAATCGACTATTTAGTCGATCTTCTTTCATATCGGCTCTTAGAGCCGCACATTCAAAACTGTCTGGCAACACCGGCAAGTTCCGCCCTTAATTACTGATGAACTTTCTCTCCTTGTTAATTACAGGGTCAAATTGACAGGCACATCTCGGGAGGAGTGTGCAGGATCGACCACCCCTGCGCTAAAGCTAGGCGGATCTACAACTCCATCGAGCAGACCCTTCCAGCTTGCTGCGTGTGTCCTCGGCACGGGACGAAAATTCTGTGTCGGCACATACCATATCCCTGCCCGGTCTCTATTTTCCTTTCATCATTTTTATCATGAGAGTAATTATAATAATCACCTATTATTAGTAACGGCAGGTTACTCACGCTACCGAAAACCTAAGCATAGCAGCTACTCGAACTTGCACTAGTAAGACTCATAGGACACATATATCTATGCATGTGGTTTCTATAAAATTCCTGTAACATAAATGCACATCACATAAATACATATAGTGATTATCAAAAATAAGGGTTATGCACCGGGCTTGCCTTGGGCAGGCACGCGGTGTCAGCCGATTCAGTCGGTGGTGGCTCCGACCTCCTCCCTCATAAGGACCTCTTCCTCGTATTCCTTGACGATCTCCTCGAACTCGCAATCGTCTGTGGTCACTATCTCCACCAACTCATTCTCTACATGCATGCGATGATGATACAACCATTTAGCATTTAGACAACAACAACCCTTAAAATAAGAATACGCATACCAAGCTACTAAGCTAGCTCTAATGACTAAGATACTAAGCTAACTATCATCTTCATCAAGTAAAGTGTTGGGTTCAACTAACAAACATGTAGCTTTGCAATTTAAGGGTATATCTTTAGTTCTACTAAGGATTTAATGTATATTGAAACAAAGAACATTTAACTACCCTAACGCTTAGTCTATTCTAAGGCTACAAAAATTATAGTGACCAGATAATAATACAATGAAGCTACTATAAAAATTTTAGGACTAAAGTTATCACCAATTTACCACAAAAATTCCTACATTAATTAACTTAATAATATTAAGCATTCACAAACAATTTAATAGCTTCTAGTATCAACACATATATGTATGAACTAAATACACCAACAGATAGACCATAATTTTAGAACCCAAACAAAATTTGTTTCACAATTTTTAGACACCTACACGATTTTATATTAATTACTAAAGATCAGCTCAAAAATTAAATTAGAAAACCAATACCAATTTCCTAGGGAAAAGAAAAATGAATCTCTCGCGCGGCCCACACGCGCGGCCCGCGTGATGTAGCACATGCAACGGCCTACTAAAGCGGCCCATGCGACATCGGCTCACGCGTGAGACGATCCTTGGTGGGGGAATCCCGCGCGCTGGCGCTTTTGCAAAATAAACCCCACACTTCTCCCAAATTACAACTAAGTCATAACGTTATTTTCTCATATCTCAAACCTTCTCACTTAACCCCCTGGCTTTCCTAGAATTCCCCTGCGCGCACCCCCAGCGACCGACCCTCCTAACGGGTCGGTCACCATCTCCGACCCGAGCGGCTACGCTAAGCGGCGGTGCGGGGTGACATGACTTGCTAGGGAAGGTTTGCGTGATGCGTTGCCATCCGCGATGGTGGTGCCACTATTTCGACGAGCTAGGGCAGCTACAGACCTAAATGGTTAGCGCGCGAGCATTAGGAGGCTACCGTGGACTAGGTTGAGGTGTCGGTTGGAGCGGAGGATGACGGAGAAGGGCTAGCCACATGCGGCCGAGCCGTGCAGTGGATCACCATGGTAGCACGGTCACGTCAGCAATGACGAGAGGCGGTAGAGGTTTGGCTATGGTGCGCAGGGCTAAGAGGGGATGAAGGAGAATCTAGTGGTGCATAGGAATTGGCTAGGGGTGAAGTGATGGAGGGCTGGCCTTGGCCATGGCCGAGCGCGACCTTATCGACACGGCGGCCGAGAAAGTTCCAAATTGGAGCTTGGCCGTGCATGGTTCAAGGCTGGGTGGGGTCAGACAGCGAGAGGACTTGATGATGAAGCCGTGGATGCGCTGAATTGAATGGAGGTGATCGCTCGATGCTTAATTTGATGGCGTGGCTCGACGGTGGCAACACAGAGAGAGAGAGAGAGGGGGTGTGACAAGTGGGCTCAGCTCGGGCTCGCCTTGGCGGGATACGATCAGTGTGATCGTGGAGGCAGGCGCTCAGACGCTATGGACAAAGCGCGCGCGTCCACAACTGGCATGGCCCGCGCGGCGCAGCGCCATAAATGGCAAGGCGACGGCGAGCTCGGCCACGTGCGCGCGACAGTGGTGGCCTCGAACCGGGTCAATGGTGGCGTAGAGGTGCAGAGAGAAGCGCGGACGTGATGGTGAGGCGACGACACCGGCAGCGGCTGCGTCGTGCGCGTGGGCGGGTTGGTTGTGCGGCGGGCCGGCGGCAGTACCACTTTGTTGCGCAAGCAGCAGTAGCGGCTCCGGCGCTTAGAGGTCAGTGGCGGCCATGCCACAGCTTGGACAGAGCAGTCGCGGCTAGCCACACGCGACAGCGCGCGTGCGACCAGCGCGTGACGCCGTGTGTGGTGATCGCGCTCACCCGGTGAACCAGCACGAGAACATGTCGTACATGAATTTTAAAGTGTCTATAAAAACTAAACGGTTGTTCTAGGAATCAAACCACCTTCACCATGCTCCAGAGGGCTTATCAGGCTACCAACTCGAGCTAAAACACGACACCACTTCTTAACTCGATTTCACAAAATAAATTTCCAAACATGGCATTGTCTTGCTGTCTTGAATTTTGATTCTAAGTTCCATTTCTAGGCTATCAAAATGTTAGCTAACGATGTTATTTTTCTACAGCAAAGATTTCATTGTCATCTACAAAGTTCATATTTCAAATTTTATTTAAATACCACATATATGTTCTATAGTATTTTTGTTCAATAAAAATTGGTTTTAAACCCTACTTGATATACATGGGTTATGGAATAGCCTCTCATTTAGCATTTTTATTGATCATCTTAGGTTCCAAAAAATTTATCCACACATTCCATCACATGTATTATCACATAAACATGATGCTCATGACATGGTTTAGTAATTTGTTTAGGGCGTAACACCGAGGGTCTTACAAAGAGCCGATGCAGAAAGTAGCACGCGTGCTCTCATACGAGCAGGCAGCAGCTGTGTTTCCTGATTGAAGGAAGGAGAAGAGGAGCTACCCGCGTGTAAGAGAGAGTGAGGAATAAGTGGGGTGGCCCGTTGGGCTGCTGGCCATTCGGCCCAAGCAAAGGAATCGAGCGCGGAGCATAGCGTTCGGTTTTTTTTAAGATTCTAGACGTCACGTTGAGCATTACCGTTTTTTTGGGAGAGTTTCACATGAAACTTGGGGGAAGCATGAGTATGGGTTCCTTTGCTTCAGTATCTTTCGAGGTTCTTTCTTAACTCCTTGCTCGACTAATGAACCTTCTCAACTTGTGTAAGGAGGAGTATATGCATTTTCTTCTCCTCTTGCGGAACAATTAGAAGATTCTGTCATAAAAAAGGACTGATGAACCTTCTTAGTTTTCTTGACAAAAGGTAGGCGGTAGGTCTTGTTAACCATAACCTAAAAGAGCTTTACACACCATTATAATTATTTATAATTATAATTATACTCCATCCGTCCCAAAATAAATCAACATTTAGAGTTATCATATTATTTTAGGTTTGACCAAACTTATAGAAAAAAGAGCACCAATAATATTATGACATTGAATTTGGATCACTAGATTTATCATGAAATATATTTTCATAATTTTTTTTTGGCGGGATATATTTTCATAATTTACTTGTGTTATATCATAAATGTTGTTACTTTTCACTATAAATTTAGTCAAACTTAAGATAGTTTTTATTTAGGGTGATTCTAGGAATTGATTTATTTTGAGATGGGAAAATATAAAATAACATATGGCAGGAAGAGATTTAGACATCCTATCTTACTAGTTTGAGTTTTTCATTTTTCCAACCTTTCAAATTTTCTCAAAGTTCTTATGGCAACGCTGGGAAAAAAGGTTTTCGAAATTTTTGTAGGTCAATCAAATCAACCAAAAGCAGCACACATGACATCCTCTGTTTTCTGCTCCTCTCTTGCATGATTTAAAGATTGCAGTGGAGGATTTTTTTCCTTCCCACCACGACGATATACAAAAAATGCAGTAACACTATCACCGACACCTCAGCCCCACCATCCTTCCGCCTAATTAAGTAAACCCTTGCGCGGTTTTACATTCCCCCTCCCCTCTAAGAGACAAAGTTATTAATTTTTATACTACACGCGTACGCACGCGCCGATGCATCGTATCAGCGCGTACTGTACACTTTGATATAGAAGTAGATACACACACTCGTATACACTGACGACTGAGTAACACATGACACGACGGTACAACACGCGGGCGGAGCAATCAATCAGAGCCGTTGGATTTGATCGACGATCGGACGGATCATATGCTTGGTATAGCAGGGGGCACGTCGTCGTCGCGTGCCTCGTCGATCATCGGTCAGTGGAGCATGGGCTCGTCGGCCATCTCGACGCCGTTGACGCTGCCGTCGGCGCCGGGTCGTCCGGCCTTGTACTTGTACCACCTGGCGGCGACGAGGTAGACGAACAGATTGGCGAGGCAGATGACGGCGAGCAGCCAGTAGAAGTTGTCGAGCCTGCCCTTGTTGAGGTCGTCGGCGATCCAGGGGTGGCGGTCGCCCGTGACCCTGTGCACGGCGGCGACGAGCGCGGAGCTGACGAAGAACCCCAGCGACAGGGTGCTGAGGAACAGCCCCGTGCTCATGGTCTTCATCCCCTTGGGGCACTCGCGGAGGAAGAAGTCGAGCTGGCCGATGTACGTGAACGCCTCGCCGGCGCCCACCAGGAAGAACTGCGGGATGAGCCAGAACACGGACATGGGCACCACGCCGCCCGCGGGCACGGCGGCGTCGCGCGCCACGCGGAGCCGCCTGATCTCCGTGAGCGCGGCGCCCGCCATGGCCACCACGGAGAGGGCGAGGCCCACGCCGATCCGCTGCAGCGGGGTGAGGCCGTGCGGGTTGCCGCTCACGCGGCGCGCCACGGGCACCACGATCCGGTCGTAGACGGGGACGGTGAGGAGGATGGAGCCGACGAAGAAGACGGTAAGCGAACCGGCGGGAATCTGGAAGGAGGACCCGATGTGGCGGTCCATGGTGGTGGCCTGCGACACCGAGAAGGTGGTCATCTGCGCGTACACCGTCCAGAACATGATAGTGGTTGCCCAGATGGGCAGCATCCGCACCACCGTCTTCACCTCCTCCACGTCCGTCAGCGTCGCCAGCCGCCACTTGCTCGGCTCCGCCGCCGGCTCCTCGTTGATGGCGGCGTGGTCCAGGAAGCTGCAGTACCAGATTAAACACGCGGGAAAACCAAACCATCAGCTGCTGCTGTTAGATTTGGAAAAAGATAAAAATTCAAGCAACAGCATTCAATCAAAAGCTGAAAGGATAAACAAGCAGGAGCTTCTGTTCAGAGTTCAGACAGAGTAAATCTGTTTTTTTTTCTTGTGCTTTCTTCAGAAAACAAAGACACACAGTAAAGTTAATTATAATATCATTTTTTTTCCAATCAAGCAGTGACACACATATATATATTATATATTATATATAAGATGCTTATTAAAAAGTTCATTCTTGAAATGTTCTCTGAAAAAAAAATTGCTCTTTTCAAGCATTCAGGTCGCTATCAGTGGACCACTTTAAGCTGAAACAGAGAGGCATGCAAAATGCAAAGTGGTTTTGGGCTTTGAGGAAAACACCAAGCAAGGCATGCGCAGACTAAAGCCGTGGTCACAGGCGCGAGATTCTGCACGAGATGGAGACACGAACCCAATCAGACACCTAAACAATTGTTCAGAGCTAGTGCTAGTTCAAGCAGATGGCCGGCCTACATACGACGATGCGTCCAGCATGCAGGGGCATCTGTATTTCTTACTCCGTATTATAGAAGACGCGATCACCATCTCAATAATCACTCGGGAGCGAGAAGAGAATCGTCGACGACACCTAATGAGTCGTCAGAGCTTATCATTTAAACAGGTCATCATCAGTATCAGCCAGCCTGACAGAGGCCCTGCTATGGAATGAGAGTGAGACACGCCGGGTATTTTTTATTTTCAAGTTGAAGAAACAAGAGATTCAGTGCGTCAGGTGTGGCAATAATCTTTCCCAATCCCCTCCACATGGTGGACTGGTGGACTGTTGAGGCCCAATCAGGGACAAGAAACAAACACCTGTTCATGCAGTGCAAATATGCAATGATGGAATGATGCAGGTGTAAGCAAAGCATCCTTCCTTCCCCAGATTGACCGGGTAGCAAAGCATTGCATAGCATCACCATCATCGACGACGACTCAGAAGTGTGGAACTCTGAAGAGACTTAAACAAGCATTGTGGTCAGGCTCAGTTGCGATGCCTTATCGATAAGATAAGGCACAAAGGAGAGGGTTAGTGGGCACATCTGACGTTAATCTGAGGCTTCCTCATGTGATCACTCAGCAAAAGGAATACCATACCCCTCCCCTGTCTTTGTCATATGCTGCTCATGTAGTCATGTGCAAAAGTATCGCGACCGAGATGAACCCAACTCACGGCAGGGAATTCGCCAGCAGGAGGACATGGGCCTCGAACCCTTCAGAAAACTGTGAGGAGTCCCGGACATGTCCGTGCCGAACGATGCCGACCGCCATGCCCATTTGCCCGAACCCCGACGAGGTCACGTGTTCAGGTCCCGGACACCACTCACTAACACCGTCTTCTAAAAGTAACAGGAAAAGGGCCGTAAAAAAGAGGAGGGTCGGTTTCGAGTTTTGATGGCTGCAAGTAAGCAAGGGTTAGCAGCCACTAATCTTGATCAGGCCGGCGTAAGCGAGCATGGATGGGGGATGGCAACGGCAGGCACCATCACATGCCTGCAGTGCAGGCTGCTTTACCTCACGCGTATGGTGATGGTCCACGCGTCCATGTGATGGTCTCGTCGATCCCTCCAGTGATCTTTCTCCACAGCTTTTCCACACCAGAGGACATGATGCATGGCCACACCATCACCACACCAAACACATGCAGAGAGAAAGAAAGAGATGCAGTGCCAAGGGAGCCATGCCAAAGACGACGGCCAACCTACCTAGACGGCTAGACGGCAGCAGCAGCATGTGAGTGAGAGAGGGATGCAAAAGGTTGCTCCGATCGGTTAGATAGATAGATTTGGCCGTCGCCATCCATGGCGGCCACTCGTCGTCCGCCCGTCCGTCCGTCCGTTGGTCCATAGCAGCTAGGCGAGTAGGAAGGTTCCCCACACACACCATGTTGCTGCTGCTGCTCTGTCCCTCTCCAATGCAAGATCAACACTTCCCTGTGCCTTTGAGCCTTTCGCGTCCACCGCTGAATCATGCTGCCGATCTCCATTTCATTTGCCCCCTGAAACTAACAATCATGCACCCGCCTTTCCTCTGGCTTTTGAGGGGCCTTTCGGTGTGCAGGGCACACGTCCTGGTAACAGTGATCTAATAATTGAGGGAATGCGTATCTGTAGGGCTCTCTTTTGGGGATTCAGATCAGCTATAGCCCTTCTAGACTTCTAGTGTTATGTTATATAGTGCCCCACTGTACTGTGAGTTCATATCATAACCCATATATGAAGGAATATGTTTAGTTTCAGCGCACACACGTCACACGTGTATGATCAAATCTGTCTATCTGTGAGTCTGTCAGTGGTCACTGTTGGTCACCAAACCTCTTTTTATTCCAGGATCAATCAGGTCTGTTGAAAGTAATTTCATCTGAAAGGAGCTTCGCTATGCCGTCAGCCGTCACCCTAGCTGAATCCCATTTTGGTTTCGTTTTGAAGCAAATGTCCGTGTCATTTTTCTTCCCTGATGTGATTCTACAGCGAAAGTCTCGGGGATTTTGAAAGGCTACTATTGTTGGCTGGCTACACATATCGACAGGACAGACAATGTTCTACTGCAACTTGATTTCCAAGTGAGTGAGGAAAGGAAAAAGTTGATGCTGATGAGTCTGGCGTTTTCTTCTATGCTAGAGTAAATTAGGTTAGCTTTTGCTGTAACTTGGTCATTCCTCTATACTCATGTCATCATCACATCGCCAACAAGAAACCGTTCTTCTCCACGGTTCTTCTGTAGGCTAGAGAGGAATGCAGAGCTAATGCCAATAATTAACTAATCTTAAACATACTCCATGCCACCTGCTGGATGCAGATTCTGACCCCTCCATACCAAGATCCCATATGTACACTCTTCCAGTCCTGTCTACATCCCATTGGAGCTACTTACTCACTACCACTATTCAACATTTCAATTCAAACCGTCAAAGTTACGACGCCTTGCTATATCACATTTTCAATGCAGCTGCAGCTCTCAGGAAAAGTCTCAAACTCCGAAAACTGATGTCAGTCCGAGTCTTGAGAAAGTGAAGCTACAAGCTACTAGGTGGGTGAGGGGCTGCTTTCTTCCTCCTCACAAGACTCCCCGTGGGATAGCATAAGAGCTTTTGTGTTTTTGCAGAATCAGTGGGTCCGTAAGGTTTTTAGGCCTGTTTTTTTCTTTAAAAACTAGACCAATTCTATTCTATTTAATTGAAAAGCAGAGCTCCTGTCATTACATTTAAAAATAAAAAAAGGACTCCCAAACCTCGCTAATGACACCAAAAACTGAGGACTGCAGCTAGACAACAAGCGAGATCAAGCCCTTTTGGCCTCGCATGCCGACCTCCCCCCTGTTTTTCCTCGCATCTTCTTCCAGTTTTGTACTACTAATAGTACTCGAACTGCAGCGGCCACGGGCGGCACGCAGGGTGGGCAAACACACTAAACATGAGCCGTTGGATTTGGATGAGTAATGAGAGAAAATGGTTAAGAGATAATCTGGTGCATCTGTTTTGACGGTGTTATATTTTCTGGGTGCATTCATGAGTGTGGATATAGCATAGGTCATGACTGTGGAGCAGACATTTGTTGTGTGGCTATAGATTTATTCTAATTAGTGTATTATAGGGTAGGGTAGACTAGTATATTCCGCCTCTCTGAATTTCAGAAGGTATTCAGTTGGACCATACAGTATAAACATATATATATATATATATTGGTATTTATACAATATCTACACTCTGCCCTGAAAATTTTGTGCAGATATTTGCTAGTGTTGGATGGATGCTGCAGTTGCAGTGCAGAGCACCGGGCAGAGGAGGACAACAAGGGATGATAGCAGCGCACCAGGATGGCCGGGGGACACACAGCAACAGGGAAGAGGGAGGGAGCACAGCACAGTCCGTGACCCTTCTCCGTCCCCCTAGGGAGCATTAGAATAACGCAATTATTGGTCTGGGTGCTGCCAAACGGAGGTCTTATCCTCTTTCCCTAAAGATCATACGTTGCGTGGGGGACATCACTTAACATAAGATGTTCGCTAAAGCTACGCGAAAGGCTAAGTCAAGCGAGCGAGAGAGACAGGTGCTACGCGTGTGCGGCGTCTAGCAAATGGGTGACTGGACCCGCCCAGCGGCGATGGTTGACGTTGAGAGGGGGTGTAGAGGACCACTTGTCAGTGACTGACCCCGTCTGCCATGCCAAGCAAGGAAGGTTTTGGGCTCTGTGCGTTTGAGCTTATAAGCCATATTCAGCCCTACTTTTTTAGCCATAAACAATATTTTTCTCTCACAACAAATCAGCCCTACGAACCAGCCGCAACAAGAACAAGTCCTTCCGAACGGAACCTTGGCTGGCCACCGGCGAGGGACGGCGTCGGCTGTTAATGAGATTGTGGACTTTAGTAGGGAAGGCATGCAATTGGCAGCTGTGGTACGAATGAATTTGCCATGAATTCATACATAGTACATACACCACGTGAGTGGGCGATGCAAGTTGGGAGAAAACGATATAGGGAGATGGAGCGGACAAAACAGTGCACTCGATTGTGCAATCCATCCGTTTGCATCTACTTGCATTGGACTGGTTTGGATTGGCGATGCAAGTTGGGAGAAAACGATATAGGGAGATGGAGCGGACAAAACAGTGCACTCGATTGTGCAATCCATCCGTTTGCATCTACATGCATTGGACTGGTTTGAATTGGCGATGCAAGTTGGGAGATTGTACCCTAGCCTAGCTGGCAAATTGTATATTGTTATTGGAGAATGGAGACAGACAGTACATACACCCCCTTCCTCTCTGTTGTTTGTCTGGCAATGGCTGTCTCTCTCACTTGCTCTAAGTCCCTCTCTCTGGTTACAATACAAGTGAGACTGACAAATGAGGTCAACCAATAGTAAGGCAAATAACCCTATTGGTGTGCTGCCAGTCCATCTTACTTGGACTCTTGTTTTGACTGATGCCATCACTTAGCTAATTAATCCATTACATACTACTGTAGTATTATTAGTCAGGTGGTAGTATAAGTTTTTTTTTTGGGCAACCGGCCTGGCCAGTCAAGTAAGTAAGGTAATTAAGCAGAAACATGACTCATTTGGTAAGGTAATTACCATTACTAGAGCATGGCGATGACGATGGACAAAAGTAAACAACAGCAGTAGATGTTTTGGAAAGTAGTCAGTAAGTAAAAGGTGGGTAGGCAAAAGCCAGCTAGAGCTTACCGGAACTGGTCGGTGTGGGGGAGGCGCTCCTTGCGCTTGCTCTTCTTGCCGGAACCTTCCTCGGCCGCAGCGGCGGCAGCCTTACCGACGTCGATGTCGTAGAGCATGGCGGGGTCAGCGGGCAGCGGGAGCCGGCGCTTCCGCCACGCCGCCACGACGACGGCCGCGATCTGCGTGAGCGGGCTCCCCACCAGCTTCTTGAACCGGTACCTGCGCGTGCCGGCGAGGAAGACGACGAGCCCAACGGCGATGGCGCAGGCGCAGGCGCCGTAGCCCCAGCGCCTGCCCAGGTTGTCCTGGACGTAGACGAGCACGGTGACGGCCAGCAGGGAGCCGAGGGAGATGAAGAAGAAGAACCAGTTGAAGAAGCGCATCATCTGGTGCTTCTCGCCCCGGTCCGACTCGTCGAACTGGTCGGAGCCGAAGCCGGACACGCTCGACTTGAGCCCGCCCGTGCCCAGCGCCGTCAGGTACAGGGCGAGGTACATCACGCCCAGCTGCGCGCCCGACGCGCGCGCGCACTCACCGGTGTTGCCGGAGCACGCCGCCGGACGCAGACCCGGCGCCGCCGTCGAGATCGTCAGGATCGTCACGCCCTGCGCGCCCAATCACGCACGTACGCAAACAAACAAATTACTTACTGTACTTTGTATGTATCATCAGCTAGCAGCTGTATGTATTATTTGTCAAAATCCAACCTTTTAAATCGTTGGGTGAAAATCCAACCTTTTAAATCGTGCAGATTAAATTTAAAATTACTGCTCTTTTCCGGCGGGCGTGCAGTGTGTTAAATTAGAAATCTGTTTAGTTTTACGCTTTCATCAGATTATCAGTAGTATATGCAAATCGAATCCGAAACAAACAAAACTCGTGCAGATTAAATTTAAAATTACTGCTCTTTATATGACGTAGCGATGATACTGAATTGAACCGATGCCTGTCTGTTTGGGTGCGCGTTCTTTTTAGAGGCGGTGAAGATGGCGATGGTGAGGTATCGGCCGAGGAGCCCAAGCAGTCGATGATGAAATGACAGAGGGGATTGACCGGCGGACCCATCCGCCGAGGAGGCAGAGCACGCATGAAGAATGAATGTGCCCAGAATCGAGAAGTTGGTGACGACGTTGGCGGACTCGGCGTTGCCCAGGTGCATGGTGCCCGTGAGGTACGTCACCAGGTTCACGGCGATGCCCAGCGTGGTCAGCCGCTCGTTCAGCTCCGCCACTGCAGCAGCACCACAGACACAGGTCAGGAGTCAGGAACAGCCCATGCATTATTTTTCATCCTTCAGTACGTTCAGCTTCGACCGTCAGCGACAGCGAGCGAGCGATCTCGATCGACGCATGCCAGGATCTGACTGCCGCCGGGTGGGATGGAACGAACAATGGATGGAACGAGAGAGGAACCCGGCCGGCCGGCCGGCGGCGGTCGGCCGGACTCGGATCAACCCAACCAACGTACCTAGGATCATGGCGGCGGCGCCCCAGCGGCCGGTGGTGGCGCGCGGGGCCGGGCGGCCCTTGAAGTCCCAGGCGTCGAGGAGGACGTCGGTCTCCGCCGCGGCATTGGTCTCGGGGAGGAGCCCGACCATCTTCTCTCTTCTCTTCTCTTCGCCTCCCTACTGCCGGCCGGGGCTACGTGGAAGGATTTGGGAGGAGACGAGACGGGAGACGGGAGACGGGAGACCCAGCCAGACACCCAGAGACGAGACCAGACTAGGTGCGGTTGCCGGCCGGCACCGGCTGCCTCGCTGTGCTGTGCCTGTGCGGTGCGGGGTGCGGACTGCCGTGCTCTGCCGGGCTGGGCGTTGCCCGCTATATATAATAACCGTTCGCGCCGGGGGCATTTCCGGGAGAATCTCGCGCCTGCTCTGTGGGCCCCCCGGATCAGTGGATAATCACAGGAGGTGGATAACATATAACATGCATTCCGCCTTTTATTTATGCATAACAGTTATTACTTTTTGATATACTTACTAAATATATATTAAAAAAAAGCGATTTTGGGGCAGGCAAAGGCAAGGCGTGTTAAAGGGCAGGCTACTGAAAACGAGTCGATAGAATAGAAGAGGGGATAAGGGCACTTGGCCTTGCCTGACGGAACGGGGGGGATGTGCATGGACGGTAGTTATTATACGTTGATAAGTCTGGAGAAACGGAAACCGCTGCTGCTACAAATCCACCTGCCACACGCGGCCAAGCACCACGCGCTTCTTTTCTTTCTCCTTGTCCTTGGGACTCTTTTCCACAAGCAACTTGGATTTGGGCCCTCCTCGTTTGCTCGCATGCCTTTTGGCTGCTACTTACTGCAATATACAAACCAACCCCACGAGCAAAAACGGGTAGGTAACTGTAAAACCACATCACATTGTTCACAACCTCATTTCAGGAGGTGTTTTTCTTTTTCTTTTTCTCAAGGAATCGAGCTGTTTCTTGGATATCTCACATCTTATATTTTTAAAACAGACATGTTTAGAGATACAAATGTCAATACTATTTTCTATAAATCTAGCCAGACTTTAAATTGGTTGACTCCTCGAAGTGCAATATGTTCGTTTGTTCTAGGATGGAAAGTATAAAAGGCACCGATTTTGAAATGGGCTTCCTATTATATGCGGGAGTCTTTTTTTTACATCCTCCTATTGGAATTATAAGAAGTTGGGTAAAAGCCATTGAAGTCCAAGGCCTTAGCATGAATGGACTAAACCCTGTTTGGATATCCTCCTGATTATAATAATCAGATTATATAATCATATTTTGATCCTATAGATTATATGATGGATTATTATAATCAAACTTCTTTATTACCATAATCCCATAATCCAGGTGAAACCAGGTTATGGGAGATTATGAATGCTGAAAGCCCAACTTGTAATCCTATGCATAATCCAGATTATAATAATCAAACCGTGATCCAAACAAGCCCTTGACTTCTCATTGGTCACAAGAGGTACATAATGATGAAGGAGCTGGTCTACTACTTACGTTTCTTTGAAATATGCCCGTCCAGGACTAAAATCTCTTGATTTAACATGGTGCTCGTATTTTTCTATATTTTATTATATAGTATTTAGCATCACTATTTTCTAGTGCTAGGCAATGCACCCATCGACGCGAGGCGTTTATTATGTCTTTGTCAATATCAGATGCCTTCGTCGATATTAAGACCTGCTAGTTCAGTCTTTCAAAGATGCTCATAGAGGTACGTTATCTATGTGGTCATATGTGTACGTGAGCATCCACGTGCGTTAAAAAATGTACACAACAATAATGAGTTCTGCCGCTGGTCATGGCGAGAGTTGGGTTTCTATCCTAGCTAGACTAGCTAGGAGAGTTGACCCTCGTGAGGATCGAGTTCGGAAGTACGTATGAACGACGATCATCGGCCATGAGAACCGTAGTTGACATCTGTGGAGATCACTTTTGTTGACATCTATGAGAAATGCCCAAGTGCCAAGCTAGTACTCCTACATGACATTGAGCCCGTGACCTTTATCTGGCCACAAGAAACATAAGTTGACATGGTCAACCGGAAATAATGCAGGCTACTACTACTACTAGCTGCTAGATATATAACGCTGAAGCAATCGTTGGCCACAAGAAATAAACAAGCTGACATATACGTACGTGAGGAATACCAAAGTACAAATGCATCATTGAGACACGCGTGGTCGTGAGCCACAAGAAACAAGTGTCGTCGACTTGGGGCTACCAATTGAAAGCCAAGTGCATGCATGTATATGCTCTCTCTCATAGCTACAACACGTACAATCGACTACAACATCGGAGATCGAAAAATGTGACCTTTACCTAGGGATTCCTGAGGCGATGACGATAGATCAATTACCCATTCGCTTTGCTGATAAACCATAACCAAAAGTACTTTTGATTGATTTATTGTGAGAGAAAAATAATATTCATTGGTTGAAAAAATACGACTTATAAGCCAAGTAAACCGGACAAAATCATGCACATATTCTCTCGAGATGGCACATCCCACAAGCTAAGCTACCACTGTTGTACCTGCCACTCGCTTTTTAGCGTAATAATACAGCACTACATCGTCACAACCTATACAAGGCCGACACAAGTGAAGGGACCATGACACCTAAGAAGGGATGAATTAGGCAATTTAAAACTCTAACTCAAAACTATGGCCTCTTTTTCAACCTTAGCAAAAACTATGCAAAAGATAAACTATTTAAATTTACAACTATAATTTTGCTAGTGTGTTACTATCCCTACCGTAAAATGAGTAATACAAACAATGTAAATGCGGAATCTAAAGAGCAAGGTAGAGATATGCAAACTCCCATCACCGACTCCGGTATTTTTACCGAGGTATCGAGAAGCGCGTAAGCTTCTCTCTAGTCCTCGTTGGAGCCCCTTGCAAGGAATCCCTCGCAAGGGCCAAGCTCCCGGTCGGATAACTGGGTCTCTGGTGTGCCTTCCGGCAAGCCTCTCCCGGACAGCTCCCCGCCGTCTTCACTATCAAGCTTCCGGTCAAAACGCCGCGAGCCTTGTTCCCTCCGGTACACGGTGGCGGCCACACCACAAACGTGGTTGGTGTGATCTCGCAAGACTACAAGCCCCTCTGATGTACAACAATGGTGCGTGCAAGCACCAAGTGGTAAGAGGTATGCAAACATCACTAAACACTAAGCCTAAACCTAGAGCAAGCGCATAAGCGGTGGTCTAATCAATCTAAACACTTCGCAAAGCACCTACGCTAATCACCTAATAAATCACTAAGTACTATGCAAGTGGAGAACACTAAATTGATGTACTAGCACCCTTGGTATGTTTTCTCAGCTCCACACTCCTCAAATGGCCGCTTGGTGGGTCTATTTATAAGCCCCAATGAAAAAGTAGCCGTTGTGGACGAAGTTCCGCTTTTCTGCTACTGACCGGACATTGATCACGTCCTGACCGGACGCGCCGGTCGTCGCAACCGTTAGAACCGCGATCAACTGATCGGACACTAGCAGCGTCCGGTCACATGCCACCAGACGCGTCCAGTCATAATTTCGTCGCTCTGGAACCTCTCTGCACTCGATCGGACGCTGCAGTCCTGCGTCCGGTCGATTTGCCGTCAGCGTCCGGACAGTGCTGAATGTGTTGCTAGTGATGATGAACAGTGCCATCGGTGCGTCCGGTTACTTTACTGTTAAGCGTCTGGTCGCTGCTGCTGACACCCACTGCCGTTGCCGAGCCACTGATCGGAGTGTCCGGTTGCTTTCCGCCAGCGTCCGGTTCAGTGTCCGGTCACCTCTGTGGGCTCGTTTCTTCGTGATCTTGCGTCCGGCTTAGTTCCTATCTTCGTGCTTGGACTTTACTTGATATTGTGGGTCTTCTCTTGTGCTTCAAAGGTCTTGCTTATGGTATTGATCGTGGGAGCACCATGTCGCCTTCATCCAAGTCACGTCTTGCATCTTTTTGAACTATAAAACAATCACTTGTAAATTTATTAGTTCAATTTGGTTGTGTTGGTCATCAAACACCAAAATCTAAAGTAAATGGACATAGGGTCCATTTTCCTTACAATTTTCCCCTTTTTTGGTGATTGATGACAACACGACCAAAGCAAGCAAATACTAAGAATTTTGGAATTTAAAAAACTATCTACTTGCAATGATGCAATGCAAAGGGTAAGGTTATATGATGCTAAAAGATACCACATGTAAACATCTTTGGAAACTTATCTTGCCCTTATAAATGTCCCCATGTGGCATTATAATTTAAGCCTCCCCCTAACTCCATAATCCACTATCCTCCCTTTCTTGGACCATTACCACTTGTAGACCATTACTACTTATAAATTATTATGATCTTGCTTTTGGTCCTATAAATTAATGCTTGCTTTTGGTCCTCTAAATTCTCCCTCTTTGGAATCAAACACCAAAAAGAAAGACATTAGTAGCACAAGGAAGGTTCAAACTTTGTGATCCTTTATATGTGGAGTGAAATAGATCACAAAATTTGACTCTCACATTACATAGACTAAGCTCCCTCTAAATATATGCATACATATGATGGATAATGAAGTTTATGCATAATTAGCAAGTTAATGCTCAAGGAATTTAATCTATATAATGCATGGAGAAAGCATATAAATACCAAAGTGATATCAACATGATGATATCGGTTTAGAAATACCACATGTGGAAACCAATTTGATTTACACCACTTGCAATAGGTGGTGAATATTTGAAGTATGATGCTTAACTCTTGGGACTTCATTTTCTTGCAATGAGACTACTACACACAAGATAAGTTTGAAAAGGTGTTAGTCTCAAAGCATCCAACTTGTAGAGTAACCTCCTCCTAAACTTGTGCACACAAGTATGAAATACTTATAGGGGACATGCACAATGATTTTAGAATAAAAAATGCCACTTGAGAGATGACATCACATGAATGTGAGAATTATTTTTGAATGTGATATTCGGGATAAATTATCTATAATTTTGACTTTGGCACATATTAGATGAACAATTGAAATACAAGCTATGTGCCATGCTCCTAAACGTTTTAAACCATGTAGGTTTGCTTCAAGGGTTAAAAGTAAAACCGAGCAAGCCTACCATAATAT